GCTTTTAATTTCCTTTTTGAAACAGATCCCGTGAGTTAGGCATAGGTTCTAGTACTGCTCCGCGCTTGCTATAAACAGTAATTAGAAAACAAAAACTACCTCTCTACTCCCTGCTTCCATTTACACCACCCACACCAGGCTAAAACCATCCCTTGCACACCAGCTCCTGCACAACCGCTTCATTTTTCCGATGAAAGCCTAGGACGTAGGGAGAATTTGCCCCCCTCTTACGAGCCACCATGGCTTCCCCCTGCTAGTGCCACCCCCCGCCGCACCTTCATCCCTAAGCAGAGCGCACAGTTCTGAGAATGAGACAATCAGGAGACAGGGGAGGAAAAAAAAAAAGTATCGACAGAAGTAAATCAAGAAATCAAAAAACTTAAGCAGAGAGAAAGCAGTTTGAAAGGTAAAGTGTTCAGAGAAAGCCCTTTCCTGGATGAATCTAATTGTTTTGTTATCTTTACCCACCAAAGCATTTACTTTGGTTTGTCGCCCGATCCACAAACACTTTCGAGGAGATGACATTACCGAAAGGCAGGAACATCTGCATCAGCTCAGCATCCCCAAACTCCTGGGGCAGATGGTAGATAAACAGGTTACAGCCCTCTGGTCCTGTAGGTGAGAGAGGAGAGACAAGGAGGGAGGGAAGGTGAATCGAGAAGAACGGGAGGTGGAAAAGACCAGCTTTTTCTCCCCAAGCCTTTCTCTGGCTGGTGCAGGAGAAAAAAGAGGTCTGCACCCAGTCGTGCATTAAATGCGATAATTAGGGGTGCAACCTCTACATCAGGACTTTGCAGGCACCTAAAGGCTGGAAGCTGGATGGGAACAGGGGCAGGGGACAAATCAGTCTGGGTAGACCCTGCAGAGCGTAGGTGAGATACAGCACTGTGAGAGACAGGCTACTGCACAGGAGAGCCCTATGGTGTGACCCAGCACGACAGTACTTATATTCTGCAGTATTGAACACACACAGCTTATCTTTGCAATAAGGGATTTCATCACTTCCTTTGGGAGCCTGCCAAGATCTCGCCCTCGAGGTGGTGGAAGAAACTCCCCAGGGAGCTTCTGGATAGCAATCCTGACTGGCAAATTTTAACCTTTAAGCCCCCAAGAAACCAAAGGCACCCTGCCGTGACCCCTGGCTTCGATCCCACAAAGCCCTGCACCCCTTCTAACCAGGGAAGGGGGTGGACCAGTGAGCACCATAATGTCTTCTTGAGACCTATAATGCCAGCTTAATTAACCTTTGAGGTGACCAAATACTGCAGGGATAGGCTTGAACATAAAGCAGACAAAAGGAGAGAGAAAGCGGTGGAGCTGGATGGACAGAAAGAAAGAAAGACGCACTTCCTGGGATTCTTGTCATACT